CCTCCCGTGTCACAGCCGCACTGATGTCACCCTCCCGTGTCACAGCCTCACTGCCCATCACCCTCCTGTATCATAACCACACTGCTGCTCACCCTCCTGTGTGACCCTGTTCCCCAAACTCTCCTTAGCCTTTGTAATGGTGAAAAAACCCTGAAGTAAAACTCTCCATCTAGAAAAAGGGTTATCAAACACCCATAGGCTTCCCCAGAACTTTGCAGTGGCCCACTTACCACTTAGACCTCAGCTCGAGCATTCCCTGGTGACACAGTGGCGATCCACCTGCACCCACCACACCCTCTACACTACCGCTCTGTGACGGCATGACATCATTGCTGGCAGTTCAGAAACTGCTGCCATCTAACTGGCCTATGGGGATTTTCTTGATCAAAGATGGATGTGGGAAAGCCCAGCTAAGCAAGGCAAGAGGAGCAAGGCAGGAAGCAGCTCTTCTCCATGGCTCCTGCTTGATTTCCTACCCTGACTTTCCACAATAGCAGACTATGATGGGACGAGTTAGCCAAATGGACCCTTTTCTCCCCAAACTGCTTTTAGTCAAGAAAGGAAACAAGGACAAACCATGTCAGGATGCAGGATAGAAGTTATATTCAGAGTTCTAAATCCCCGCTCCTTCCTCTAACCATGTTACCCTTAACTCCCACTTCCCATCCTGAGTCCCAATACCTCCCTGCAGCATCACTGCATCTGTGGGCTGAGTGCTTTGCTTTATCATTATTCAAATTTTCAAAATTTTACATTTCTGAGCTCTGTATAAGAAAACGAGGTAACTGCTTTTCACCTACAACAGCCTATTTAAGAAGAAATCTGAAAAGATAATTCACTGATCCCCACATTAATCCATTCTTATCTGCAATACAGTTACAAGTTCCCTAACAGCTGTGACAAACGGTGAGCAAGCAATTACTTGGACATTCTGTTACAGTTGCCGAGACAAGCAGTAGTATGCTGAGTAGCAGTCAATTAAAAAGATAATCCTTTAAGTAGTCGCTGTAACAAAGACTTCATGTTTTAGTCTCTTTATGTGCAATATTCCAGAGACTGAAATCTCGTATATTTCACAAGACTGTCAAGGCCAACTAACATTGTACTTCCTCAACTTCCTGCCTCCTCCTTCACCACAATTCTCTGATCAACTCTTAGTCATCAAATGTGATGGTTTGACTGGGGGAACGGCCTCCATAGGTTTATACATTTGAATACTTGGTCTCCAGTTGGTGGAACTATCTGAGAAAGGTTAGTGGGTGTGGCCTTGTTGGAGGAGGTATGTCACTGGGGGAGGGATTTGAGGTTTCAAAAGCCCAGCCCACTCCCAGTTAGCTCTCTCTGCCTTGTGCTGGTATATCAAGGCATGAGCTCTCAGCCACTGCTCCAGGGCTATGTCTTCCAGCTACCATGCTCCCAGCAATGATGACTGTGATCCCCAGATTAAATAATTTTCTTTTATAAGTTGCCTTCATCATGGTGTCTTACCACAGCAATAGAAAAGTAACCAAGACACCAAATTTAAAGATCTTTAATTTTTTGCTTCTTCGGGAAAGGTTCTACAGCCGAGGCAGCACTTAACTGAGCTCACTGTTTATTTAGCCAACGCTGGGCTTGTGAAGTCCTGCTCTTCCTGCCTGCCCTCCCAAGGTACAGGGGCCACAGGCATGTGCCACCACCTAGAGTTCAACTCATCTTGAACTTCCTGCGATCATTCAAACAGTTAATGAGCCCTCCTTCCTGCCATGAGATTTACCCCTCCTCAAGTCCCTATGGGCAAAGTGGAACACAAGTGCAAGCTCAGCCATGCTGGACTGATGGAGCCAGTTCAGGAGTTCAAGGCCAGCTTCATGGCAAAATCCTGACTAGACATACTAAAGCTAATTAATTAATTTAAAAGTCCAATAAAAACAAAATACCAAAGCCCCTAATATCTCCTCTGACAAACCATTCTGCCTCTACAGACACCGAAACCATGAACCACCTCAGGCGTCACCTACTTTACTACCTACCATTACACTTCACAGGTGACCCATACCACATTAGCTCTAACACAGACTTTCCCATCATGGGAACTGGCGTATGTTGCTATTTGTCATACTAGTAGTATCTGATCTGAAAAGACTACCTTTACTATATCTGACACACGACTCTTGGCTCTAATCCCAACACCAAGCTCATGGCACCAGCAATCTCCCGAGCCATCTGAGTTAAACACCACAGCTACAACGTCAGTTCTGACACTATCTGCACAAACTTCTAGACTCTGCCGATCAAGCGAATGGATTCTACTTCTGCAATAATTCCTACACCAGCCCTTTCCTCTTTACAGTACCAATCTGCCTCGGCCCAACACTCACTGCTTCTTTAAACAAATGACAACCTTCCAGCGTGTCTCCTGATGACCATGCCCTGCCATGCGCTCACACTTACAACCACATGGAAATCCTCCCGAAGCCATTTCTCTCTAAAACCTTGAAATGACTTCCCTTTGCTGGGAAAGCCCAACCCAGCTTGCCACTGAGTGTTCTTTGTCTTGAATATTTGTTTACTCAACATTCCAGTTTTATAGCTAGGATCTATAAACAATGAATAAAATATAACCTTTGTCTTCATCTGATCCTCATCAACCATTCGAACCTAATCCCCCAAAACATTCATCCAACCTTTCATAGAAAGTGTAATAGAATCTCACATATACCGCATGCTCTGTCAAGTCAAAGCGTTGCTCCGTTCCCATCCTGAAATATATGTCTCCGCAGTTCTTTGAGATGAGCTGTGAAGGTTCCTCTCCTGAATGGCTATGATCAATTTCTACCTCGCAGCTCTCTTATTTAGGTGCCTCCTTAATCTCCACAAGTAAATAATGCTTTGGATAATATTTACATTTTAGCAGAGGCTTAAGCGCCACAGTATACACAGTAGTTACAGCATAGACATCTCTTGTTGCAAGGGGCCGCTTGTTCTTCCTGGCCACCCAGCTTGCTTAGACCCAAAATAATCATACAGGAACTGTATTAATTAAATCACTGCTTGGCCCATTAACTCTAGCTTCTTATTGGCCAACTCTTACATCTTAATTTAACCCATTTCTATTACTCTGTGTATTGCCATGTGACAGTGGATTATCGGCATGTCTGACTCTGGCAGTGGCTCCATGGCATCCCTCTGACTCCGCCCTTCTTTCTCCCAGCATCAGCCTAGCTTTCCCTGCCTACCTAAGTTCTGCCTTGCTATAGGTCCAAAGCAGTTTCTTTATTCATTAATGGTAATCACAGCACACACAGGAGATTCCCACATCAATCTCTTTTTAAAATCACATTCTATATATTGTCCTGAGAATCACAGTTTTTTTCAGTTTTGTTTGTCATTTTGTCCCAAGCATTATTTATTTAATTATTTAACATTCCAAATGTAACTTTGTCTCTCTCCTCTCCTCCAAGTTCCACTCCCTCCCCTCACCTCTCTATGCCTCACCGCCGAATGCACTCCCTTTTCATTTCTGTTCAGAAAAGGGCAGACCTCCCATGGATATCAACAAAACTAGGCATATCAAGTTGTAGAAAGACTAAGCACCTCCCTTTGTAATAAGGTCAGGCAAGGTGACCCTGTATGAGAAATAGGGTCCCAAAAGCCAGCAAAAGAGTCAGAGAGCCCCTGCTCTTACCATTAGGAGTTTCACAAGATCAAGCAACACAACTGTCCCATATATGTAGAGGACCTACATCACTCCCATGCAGGTTCCCTGGTTGCTGATTCAGACTCTGTAAGCTCCTATGAGCCCAGGTGAGTTGATTCTGGGGCTTTCCTTGCAATGCCCTTGACCCCCTGGCTACTACAATCCTTTCTCCCTCTCTTTAGCAGGATTCCCTGAGCTCAGCCTAACATCTGACTGAGGATCTCTGTATGTTTCCATTAGAAGCCGCTTAATAACTGGTCTAGCCTAAGACCCATGCCACAAGAGTAAACCCACCCCTGAGAGTCCCTGGAGCGTCAGAACCACAGGCTGGCTGATTCAAAGACCTAGAATAGAACCAAACATGATTGGAGAAAAAAATAATGTCAATGTAATGATGCCTAGAGATACTCTGCTATACTCATAGATTGGTGTCTAGGTCAATACACACCTCTTAAATGAGAGTTCACACCCAATTAATTCCACTGTATTTGTCCTCCTCAATTCTACTTCATTCGTAACCTTGGACTAGAGGTGAAGGTCAGTAGCACAGCCCTTTCCTATCATGTGCAAGGCTCTAGATTCAGTCTTTAACACTATACATGCACGTACACACGAGTATGCACATACAAGCACATACACAAAAGCATACAAAGGAAAAAAAGAAAGAAAAGACAAAACATAGTTTCAATCTGTTTCCAACTCTATCAAACTCCCTTGTCTTCCTAAACACAGCCATGTTTCTCCTGAAAAATGCTTTTAAATATTATACAACTCTTTGTTATATCATTCAGAATATGGCTAGTGCCTGACTTAAAGCTGACCTGCACTATATTAAGTTCTGTTTTTTGTATTATCTCTTATCATTGGATAGATATAAATAGCCACAGCAACTCACTAGAACGTACTTAACCAGCGCATGTGAAGTGTCTGCTGCAGGTGTCTGCTACAGTACCTATGCGCTGGCTTTTCAGTAGCTCTAAACAGGTCCTGGATGACAACCCTTGAGGGTATTAAGCAGAACCTGTGACCTGATCTGCAAAGGACCACTTGGATCTGTTGTTGGTAACAGGTGTGACCGTAACCGTAAGAAGCTTCCAAGAGGAATTGAGACGTGTTTATATGTCTTAAAGAAGAAACTGAACAAATCATTTCTGAGCAAGAACAAAAAAAAATGGTCAAAACAATTGGTCTAAAAAGGAAAACAGTGTTTAGTCTTTGTCCTAGATTTTATTGTCAATTTGACACAACCACAGTGAGAGTTATCTGAGAAGAGGTAACTCTGAGGAGCTTCCTCCATCAGATTGACCAATGGGAAAGTCTATGAGATATTTTCTAATTGATCATTGGTATGAAGGGACCCAGCCTGCTGTGGGCATCTCTATCTCCATTGAGGTCCCTGTAGACAAATCTATAGGGGATTTTCTTACTTGGAAATAGATGTGGGAGTGCCTGGCCCATTGTGGGCACTGCTGCCTCTGGGCAGGTAGCCCTGGGTTGAATATGAAAATAGGCTGAGCAAGCCATGAAAAGCAAGCGAGTAAAGAGCATTGTCCCATGGCTTTGCTTTCAGCTCCTACCTCCAGGTTCCTGCCCTGGCTTCCCTCACTGATGAAGTATGACTTGAGAGCTGCAAGCTAAACCAAGGCCTTTCTTCACCACATTGCTTTGGGTACCAACTATAGTACTCCTAAGAATATTATGTATTCAAGAACTTTAAGTCAACATACCACAAAGATACTTTGCATCTTCATGTGTATACACGTTTCCTGTTGCTCTATTTTAATAACTAAGAAATGACTCACCTTGGATGTTTATCAAAAGATGGATAACAGAAAGTAGTAAATACAATAGAATTTAATTCAGTCATAAAGAATGAATAAATAAATAATGATACTGAACAAAAATGCATAGATCTGAAAGTCACTGTGTTAAGAGAGATAAGCCAGACTCAGAATGACAAACGCCACACTTTTTTTCATTTGCAACATCTACACGCAAATTTGTGTGGGGGAAGGTCATGAAAGTGGAGAAGGGAAAGTAGAAGAGAAACTATTTGAGAGAATGAGAATGGAGGGGACTAGCAAGAGAAAGGCACAGAGGATGCTGAGGAAATGGGGATAATAAGAACAACGTATGATGACATGTGTATGAAAATGTCAGGAAGAAACTTATTACTTTGTATGCTAATTTTACATTTTAATTAAAGAAAAGAAAAATTCAGATACAATTTTCAGCCCAGAGCAAGCAGTGATCTTGAAGGCATCAATGAGAATGTCAATGTCAGTATTTAATGGAGTTGTTACAAGGCACAGTCTAACTCCTTGCTTCCACAGAGAAGAATCCGGGGTCCAGCAGCAAGCAGTGAGTGGTAACAGGAGCAGCTCTCTTAGAATGAGCTAGCAGCTGGAAAGGTGAGGACCAGCTAGACTAATCAGGAGGCTGAGCTAAGGTGGCTTATGTGGGGGACGGATGACTTAATGGTAAATAACGTCTAACAAACAGAACTTTATAGTCAAATGATGAACCTCTGACCCTAGTCCCTGAGAAAAAGATACTTCTCAGTTCTGCAAAAGTCAGGAGCAAAGATCGCCATTTCCTTGGTCTATTCTGGTCACTGGTTGGTGTGACCACACGTAGTCCCTGGCATATATAAACTGGATGAACTAGAGGAGGGAGCTGCCCCAAGGTCCTCCCACTAATCATCAACCTCACAGTCATAAAAGAGAACACAGCTGATCACGGGGGAAGATTGGGGTCAGGACCCTTTCAGAGGAAAGTATCTCTTTACTAAGCCAAGGCATAAACACACACCTCTCCGAGCTCTGGGATGTTCCAACATTCATACATTTGTTTCAGAAAGTTCACGCATCCCACAATGTCCTCACGGACAGAGTTCACTTCCAAACCAATTAGTCTTTTCTGGACCAGTCGTATTCACTGAGAAGATGCTAGAAGACTAGACTACTGCCTGTGGGCATCCCAAAGGAAGCCACAGATCTGAAGGCATGGTTTCTTCTGAAGAATCCAAACCAAACAAAATTAAAAAACAAAAATATTTTAAATTGTGACTCTGTTCTGTCAAAACCTGAAAGATCTGTTATTCCCGTCACTAGTAATAACCAGCATTTGGGAATTGGCAGCTGATGAACTCCTCACACTTGATTCCGCTTAGTTAGGCCTAATACTTCCATTTGAGGAGTGTATTAACAATGCTTCAGTTTTTTCTTCTCTTGGGTTTCAGGATATTAAAGGGGCTCATTAACCAAGGAATATCAGTAAAGAGTGAGCTCCTGAGCGAACTTCACTAAGGTGAAGGTTTCTGTCTTTTCATTTCTTAAGAAGCTAGGTCAAGCAATTAAGCCAACCCCACAAAGGCAGTTAACTCATCTTCTTCCCATGAGCTCATCAACAAGAAATTAAGATGGAAAGCCCCCAATCTCCATCACACCCTCTGTCACATCATGCAGTCAGTCTGGGGTGTGAAGCCCACAGCTTGACACAGTCTCCCCTGACCAGAGATGCAATGGCAGCTCCAAGTCTGCCTGGGCTACTTCCAGTCCTTTCCACTCAATGCAATCCAAGCAGAGGCTGCTATGCATCTTTTATTCATGTTTTGTCTGAACTCCTCGAGTCAGTTTTGGAAAGATGCTTACGGCCTACTTTCTAATTACACCGCTCTTTCTTTGCAGCATTAGAGAGTAAGCCCAGGCCCTGAGACAGGTGGGGAGGCAGTCTGTATCCACCACAGAGGCAGGAGCCTTCTCGCTGGTGGAGCCTTGTGACAAATGATGCAGAGCTGATCCTAAAGGCCTGGACTTGCTTTTCAGTTCTGCAAATCTCAAAAACAAAATCATTGCTGGACGACGAACAAACAGTGTTTAGCCTGGATGCCTGCCGGGGGCTCCTGGCGCATGTCTAGCTGCTTCCTTGTCTTCCATTTGGACTAATTTAGTCTTAAGCCTACCTTTTCCTAGTTCTACTGCAGTCAAATGGCAGGTACGCCTACCTATATCCTGGTTAGAGGAAAGTGAAGACTTCCTCCCCAGTTTCTGTTGATGTGACAAAATATCCTGATATAAAGCAACTCGGAGAAGAAAGTGCTTTACTTTATAATTACAGGTTATGGCCCACCATGGAGGGAGTCACGGATGGAGGAAGTGGAGCCGCTAGTCACAGCACACACACAGCTGGGAGCAGAAAGGACTAAGTGTACAGCGTACCTGTGCCCAGATGGCTTTCTGTGCACTTACACAGTCCGGAATCCTCTGCATGCGGAATGGCACCACCCACAGTGGCCTGGATCTTCTAGTATCAACTAACATCAGTATCCAAGACAACTCTCCACAGACTCACCCACAAGGCAATCTCATCTAGACAACCCCAGGTGACTCGTGGCTGTGTCAAGTGGACAGTTAAAACTAACCGTCACAATCTCGAACGTTTCAGTTGCTTTTTGTTTGTTTTTAGCTCCTAGGACAGGGTCTCAGTATATAAGGCAGGTGGCCTCAAACTCACAATCGCCCTGCTTCAATCTCCACAGGGCTAGGGTTAGTCCTGTGCCCCACACCAGACTGGTTAACCTCAAACCGCTTTACATTTCAAGACTTTAAATGTGCAATACTGACAATTCACAGCCACTTTCAACCCAGAAATGCATAAAAATCATCAACGTTTTATCTCCACATGTCAGCCAGTTAAACTTTGATGAAAATTGACAATAAGCTGCTTTGATTAATGCTTAGAGAGATTTATTTCAGCCCTTAATATTGTTGTTGTTATTGTTATTAATTCAAAACATAATTTTGACTAAAAATTATCTGAGATATAATTATTCATTAAACAAACAATTCTGTAAAATTGTATTTCATGGACCAAATCCTAATAGATTGCTTTACTGTTTGACTTTTTCTGAATCTTAAAATTGGAAAACAGAAAAGAAAATGAGAAAGCATACATGTAAGCCAGTGAAAATTAAAGACTGTTTTAAGACAAGACTGGGGAATGAAGAGCCCACCTGATTGAAGGAGGAGTCGCTGTCGGAACAATTGTCGGTGCAGTAGCTGCCACGCTCCTCCTTCTGCAGTCGCCGCTGCCTGTCCTGACTCCGGGTCTCATCTTCCTCAAACTTGTTGATCATGGCCTCGACCACCACCATCATGATGTTCTTCAGAGAATGCATCATTTCCTTATACCTTTAAATTCAATGAACACCCAACAAAAGGACTTACAACTTTTCATCTAGAAATACGAAGTCATGAGATAAAATCAACATAATTCTAAGCCAAGCTGTCCCGGTAGCATGCATTCCTGTCGCCAGCAACATACCCAAATGTTCACAACATAAAGCCAGAACCCAGTTCGCTTCCGTCGCTCACCTCATCTCTACCTCTTTTCTCCACCTTCCTATCTTTCTCCATGTCTAGGGGCACCCACAGCCACAAATGAGACATTCTATGTCTACTCAGTATCTGAGCAGGAGTTAAGCAGTCAGCGTGTGCTTTCAAAGAAAAGCCACAAAACCAAAGGTCAGCAGTGGCAGAACACAGATCTCTGAAGTAAGACTTAAAACTAGACATTCTATAGATTCCCTCAGCTCTGCAAGTCTCCAGATGGCTCCACGAAAGAAAACTTATAATTTTAGAAAACGTATAATTTTATTTTTACTTCATTATTTTATGTGTATTTGTGTTTGGCTGCATGTGTTTCTGTACCTATGTGTGCAGTGGCTCCAAGGAAAGAAGAGGGGGATGGGTCCCGGGGAACCAGCCAGTGTTACTTAGTGAGCTCAAGGTCAGCCTGAGATGCACAGGAATACCCTACCAGAAGGAGGGAGGGAGAAAAGTGCTCTGATAAAAATAAATATCTGTCCATCAGAAGCTGCTCTGACCAGGCACAGTGGTACATCCATTAGTCCCAAAATCCAAGAAGCAGAGAAAAGTATATTTCTGTAAATTCAATGCCAGCCTGGCCTACAAAGCAAGTTTCAGGCCTGCCAGTGCTACATATTGAGACTATGTCTCATACAAACAAAAAGCTGTTCTCTCCTTTCACAGTAATTGGATAGTAGCTAAACTATACTCTCAGCATCCTCTGAAGCTAGGTGTGTTGACAGGTACATCATGATTTCTCTATTTCTTTAAAATTTACAATTTGGTGATTTAGCTAGATCCAGTGACGTATGCCTGTAATCCAGTACTCTAAATGGAGACAGAAAGATTTAGTTCAAGTCTGCTCAAGAGAAGGTAGAAAGAAAGAGGGGAGGTGGAGGATTAAAAAGGAAGGTAGGGAGAAGTGATATGGGATTCCCCTCTGTGTGCTGTGAATACCATTGGTTAATAAAGACTCTGTTTCAGCCAGTGGTTTAGCAGTGTAAAGCTAGGCAGGAAAACTAAACTTAATGCTGGGAGAAAGAAGGTGGAGCCAGGAATATGCCATGTAGCCGCCAGAGGGGAAAGACACAGAGCTGCCAGCTGGAACCTTGCCAGTAGGCCACAACCACATGGAGACACACAGATTAACAGAGATGGATTAATTCTAGATGTAAGAGCTAGCTAGCAATACTCTTAAGCTATTGGCCAAACAGTGGCAAATAATATAGTTTCTGTGTGATTACTCTGGGTCTAAATGGCTGGGAATGAATGAGCAGCCTCTTACTACAGGGAAAGAAAAAGAGAAGGAGAAGAAAGAAGAAACAGCAACCACGGGAAAAGACAGGAAAGGAATTTTGGTAATTTAGTGAAGAAGTATGAAAAGTAAAACATGAGAATTATTTAATCCATTGAACATCTGAAATTTCCATTTGGACATAAATGTTTCTAACAGGCATTTTTTAAAAGATGACCATGAATTTCTCTGTAAGAACTATCATAAAAATGATCAGAAGGGAAAATAAGAGCAATAATCTTTTACAAACCTAAGGAGCTGATAATCAATATCAAAGGTTAAATTAACCATAATGCAATAGTAGCTATTGTAGATTTTAGAAAGCAAAGGGAAGCAGATATCAAATATAGATACCATCCACACATTACTATAATACTTCAAAAAATATTCAAATAGGGGAATAAAAAGCTTCAAGGAAAGAAAGCCAGAATAACAATGGAAATCTGCCTAAGTGCTTCCAAACTCATTAAATAACATGAGAGGCCTAAAAGGAAACTCTTCCATGTACCAATATCAAAAAAATAAACATCAAAATGTTTATTTAGCGATATGGCTTGTAATTATTATAATAAAAATGTACTGTTGCCACACGAGCACTGAGTAACTTTTCAAGAATCACAAAAAAATTACTTCTAACAAAATAATACTTCATACAACTTAAAGTCTATCATCTTTCAAAAAGCACAAGACAAATATTCATTAAGTCTTTTTAAATCTTGGTGGCTATTACTGTTTTAAATTTTATGCATGGACGAACTAAAGGACAACAGAGTTAAATAGCTTATGAAGAGATTTTTGAAAGTAATTTCCTAATAGGATCATATAAAACTCTGCAGTTGTCACTAAAATGCTTCCGTGCTCCCATTATTTGATCAAGTTTAGCATTCTTTTTGGAATAAGCAGCTAGACACAGACTACTAGGTATTTAAATATTGTCCAAATGTGGACAGAACTCCTTTATTTTTCTATAATAGGAAACTTTAGCCAAGCATGGTCATGCATGTATTTAATCCCAGCACTCAGGAGGCAGAAGCAGGTGGATCTCTATGAATTTGAGGCCAGCCTGGTCTACAAACAGAGTTCCAGGACAGCCAAAGCTATTACACAAAGAAACCTTATCTCAAAAAACCAAAAATTAAAAAAAAATTTAACTTTATGGACTTTATTCCCTATGTTAATGTCTGAACCAACTATGTCTGTATATTGTCATCTTATTCCAATGAGTAACAAGAATAAATAACAGTTCTCATAAGGGAAACAGAATTCCTGTCCAGACTAATATTTTTAAGCTGAGTTTATAAATAAATTGGAATTAATTTTCTTTAATACAATAGATAGTAAATACTCAAGCAGAAATTTGAGTAACTCCATACCGGGGTTGGCAGAATATTATCTCTGATGTTTAAAACAGAATGGCCTTCATGGGCCATTTGAATCCTTGGTCTCTAGTAGTTGGAATTTTTCACAGCAATAAAAAAGTAATTAAGACATTATTTTATTGACCTAAATTGACTTTCCACTAAATAAAATTTAACTGAAACACATGCACATTCTTTCCATTATATATGATCTATGGCTGTTCTCATATTGTTTATAAAATAGACAGTGAGTAAAGCCTAAAGTGTTTAGTGTATGCCCCTTATAAGAAACATTCACCATCCCCTGCCATAGGGATGATGGAGTAGGACAGTGAAGGGACCCACGACCCTGGGCGGGAACAGTGAAAGACCCACCCACCCATCCATCACTTGCATGCTTTGGAGGTTGTGTTTTCATGCTTCTTTGTTACAAACATTCATTACATATTTGGACTAATATATTTCTTCCTTGATATTTCCATACAGCCTTTTATATATATTATAGCACTTAACACACCGAATTGAATCTGTTTCGTTTCCATTTCAGAGCAATGTTAAACTCTTCTCTTTACACTGAGGGTTAGTGAAGGGTTGAAAACACCTCCTTCCTCTTTACAGTACACCATATTGTAGCTGCTCACCCAATGCGTGAAGACAAGCTGACATATAAAGGAAAAACAGTTACTGTTGATGACACAGTCACTTTCGGCACCAGTCTGTTTTCCTTGCTAAAACTGTACTTGAGTCTAGGTACAGTAATGAAGAAAAGAAGTCTGTCTCATAAGTTTGGGGGATCATAAGCTTGCATTAATTTCTGCCCAGCTCTTGTCCAGACCTCATGGTAAACAGCACAAAAATCCCAAGATTGCTAAAGAAAGGGATAACATGACAAGACCAGAAGCCAGGAGGTAGGGAAGGGACTGCTGCTTTCTAACATCTGTTCATCTCTTTCTCTGTGGCGAGCATGCAAGCTTGCTCACTCACTTACTAGAAGTAAATAGGGTTAAGAACTGCCTTAATCCCCGCTGAGACTCCATGTTCAATGACCTAATTTTCTTGTATGTAGCCTCTCTTCAGGGATCTATTGCCTCCTAATTCTGCCACATTGGGGACCAAGCTCCTAACACTGTTTGAGAATAAATAACATCTACAGTATTGTAATTTATAACATAAAACTGATTATAGTTTAATTATAATTCAATAAAATTATAAGTAATTATAATCATACATTATAATTAAATAAAACAATTCAATTTTATTAACAAGTCTCTATTAAGCATGTATAATATACAAGGCACTTTCAAGGCATTAAAGATACGGAAGTAAAAAAATAGGATATGAATTTGTCTTTGTAGACCGCCCATCCTATCAAGGAAATACTGAAATAAGAAAAAGATAAATATAGATTGTATCCTTTCTTAGTGACAAAAAGCTGAAAGGAAAATAAAGCAAAATAAGAAAATAGGGGAAGAGAGAAAGGCTATTGGTTTAGGCAGACTAGAGAACAAAATGTCTTAAAATAAAGACAGTGAACTAAGATGCTCCCAAATTGAATGTTAACTCAGATAATCTATGGAAAGGACACTCTACAGAAATCCAGCATGAGGACAAACCTGAGAGGTGTGCCTGCTTGACTGTTTGATAAAGAGCTAGACCAGTGTAGTGGGAGAAGTATGGGGGAGAAGAGGGCAAATATGTTAGGAGGGTGTGCAGAAAGCTCAAGGCCAGCCTGGTGGACTACCTAAACAGCCCTGAGTTTGCTCTGCACAATGTGAGGGGTATGGCGTGGGGGTACTGTCAAGAAATCCCAATGAAGTATTAGTGTTGAAAGATCAGCAGAAACTAGAGGGAAGTGTGCTCCTCACATCCACCTAGCCTGCACAAGTGCTGAGATCCAAGGAAACTTCAGAAAAGGACTTATAACCTCTCCTCCTCCCATGCCAGAAATCCCAGAACACGGAGGCTGCAGAGACCAAGGGGTCCAACTCCCCCTTCTGCACACAGCACCATGTGGAACTGCCATAGCCAGAGGGAGCTGAGACCCTCACCCATCAGATCAGCACCAGTGTGCCAGCAACTCACTCATTTTGGTTCTTCTCCTGCGCTATTTACCTTCCACTTTTGTGTATGCCTCGTGATGGTTTTGCTTTTGCTTATACAGGGCTCTGTGGAGATTGTAGACTCCTGCTTCCGCTTCTCCACCCAGTTTACCCTGCAGATACATCTCCCACACTCCCACACATATTCCTACCTCTTTTCTTCTTTCTCCATTTTATCTTCTCTTTTTAAGTCTTAACCAAAACCTCCCACAGCTTTAACAATCTCTAAAATCTGTGAGCCCTACCAGCATCCCAACTTTCCCTTCCCAGCTATTTTACCCACCTCAAGTTCTTTCTTTTGAAAGGAAATCCAATAGTTAATCTTTATCTTTCTATATATCCTACTTCCCTACCAAGACTAATCTTATTAACAAAATCTCTTTATACTCCATACCGTCCTGGGGTGCTTACCCCCAACAGTACTGAAGACAAAGGGAGACCAGCAGCAACTGTGCAGGACAATATTCATACAGCGGTAATAAGAAGCCGTCATCATTGTTACTGAAGCTACTGCCCTACTTAGAGGAAAACAGAGTTTCCATCAAGCACCCTGAGCTCCTGGGCTGTGCAACTATTTTCTGAACTATACACTCAATTCTGCCACATAAAGTCAAATACTTCAATGGAAACAAGTATCGCTGATGTAAAAAACATACCAAGCTCAGAGTTAGTAACAGATAGATAAACTCTACCGCAGTAACATAAAAACACAAAGTAGGACAAGATGACTATCCCAAAAGCCACTAAGACTGCAGTGATGGCATCTGGAGAGAGAAAGAGGAAGTCACACGCAGAAACTCAAAGGAATGATCATAAACACAGATGTATCAGGAGTGTGTTCAAAGCAGAAAATTAGTTCCTGGTTGAGAATACGAACAGCTGGATGAAGTAAAGAAGGTACTGCAAGATATGAAAGAGAAATTCAACAGAGACAGAAATGCTGAATAAAAAGGACCTCAGAAATGCTAGAAATGGAAAACCTAGTAAATCAAATACAGAGCTCTGTGGAAAGTCCCATGAGAGGACAGGTCAAGGAGAAGACAGACTTTCTGAGTGAGAACACAAAGTAGAGGAACTGCAGCCAGCAAACAAGGAAAAGAATAAAACAATAATAAGTCCAAGGTATACACGACACTCTAAAAAGACCAAGCTTACAGATAACAGATATAAAATGAGAAGATTCTAGATCCACATGCATAGAAAATATTTTAAGGAATTACAAGAGAAAATTCCCCAGAATTAGGAAGGGAGATGCCGATCCAGGCAGACAGTGGAGGCATTTAGGGCCCCGAACTGACGAGACAGGAAAGAACCTCTCATCATCTCAATACAGTTCAAATACTAAATATACAGAACAAAGAAAGAACACAGACGGCAACAGAAGGAAAACACTAAATCATGTACAAAGACAAGTCCATCAAAACAACAGCAGATTATTCAATCAGAACTTTAAATCCAGAAGAGCCCGAACAAATGAATTTCAAATTCTGAAAGACAGCTGCCAATTCTCAAACAGTTAAGAGCACTGGCTGCTCTTCCAGAGTTCCTGAGTTCGATTCCCAGCACCAACACAGTGACTCACAACTATCTATAGTGAGAACCAGTACTCTTTCCTCTGCTGGGCAGGCACACATACAGGCAGTACACTGCATGCATAATAAATGAATAGATCTTTTTTTAAAAGTAAATAAAGTTAATGAAGAGTTGGTTCTTTGAAAAGACATACAAGACTGACAGACCCTTAACAAAACTAAAGAAAGAGAAGACACAAATTATTAGGTCCTATCTTGAAAATATCACCTACTAAAATTGGAAACGATAAAAAGAGTGGGTAAGTTTCTAAATGATGTGACCTACAAAACTGAACCAAGATGCAGTAAGCAACTGAAAACTCTATCACAAGCAGTGAGGGTCAAACACTAATTTAACCTGCCCCAACTAAAGAAAATCCAGGCCCAGCTGGGCTGATTAACTGCTGAGTTTCATAAAACCTTTGAAGAATCAGCACCACTGCTTCTCAAACTATTCTACAAAATAGAGAAGTTGCAAACACTACCAAACTTTTTTTTACACAACTTACACATCGGAAAAAGAACAGCATCTTCAAAGGTGGCAGGAAAAAACAAAATTTCTCCATTTAGAAGAAACTGAATATGTATATATGTATGTATGTACATACACACACACATTTATACACACACACACACATCTGCACAAAAGTCAACTACAAATACATCAAGGAACTCAATATAACATCTGATTCTCTGTAATTTCTAGAGGGGAGTACACTTCAAGGTACAGGCAGAGGCAAGGATTTTCTGAGTAGGACTTGAATCACTCAGAAAATAAGGCCAATTTCTACAAATGAGATTTCATGAAATATGAAGTACAGAAAACTGACAATTAAGGAAAAGACAGCCTATATAAAGGCTGAAAATCTCTGTCATCTATATATCCTACAGAAGATTAGTATCTAGACTATACAAAGAGTTCAAAAAACTATAAACATCAAAACAAACAACTAGTCCCAAATAAATAAATACATAAATAAATGAGCCATGAACCCAGAGTTCTCAAAAAAAAAAAAAACTACAAATGCCTAATAAATACTTTTAAAGTGTTCCACATTGCTAGCTAATGGGGAAATGCAATGATGTTACTTTGAAGTTCCATCTCACTTGTTTCAGAACAGCTATGGTTAAGAAAGCAAAGGACACCAAAAGCTGGTGAGGATGTGATGAAGAGGAACCTTTACCCACCTTATCCACCATTAGCAGGAATGCAGACGGGTGCAGCCACTATGGAAATCAGTAAAGAAAATCTTCAAAAAGCTAAAAATAGAACTGTCATACGCTGGAGCCATGCAACATCTGGGCCATACGCTATGTCCTGTTACAGAGCTATGGACACATCCATACTCACTGCTGCTATACTCATGATAGCTAGAACATGGAATCAGCCTAGATGTCCACCAACTGGTACATGGATAACGAATCTGTGATACCTCTATGATACCTACAAACAATGGATGTTTATTCAGTTATAAGGAAAACTAGAATTTTTAGGAAAGTAGAACTGGGAAATACTATCTCAGACTTGCAAGAAAAGCACTCTCTCATGTGTATATCCTAGGTTTTCATTTTTAGATCTGTGATTCTGATTTTGGAGCATCTAAAGAGGTCAGGAAGCTATAAGGATCCCTTGAGAAGGGAAGTCAAAGGGCTTACAGGGTGAGATCTAAATTATAAACGCAAAAATAATTATTATGCCATACTCACTCCTTAGACTCTTGTGTTCTCTTGGTGACATGCTGTACAACAGTGTCATAGCCAGATTCCTCACCCTGATTATGATCAGATGTGCATTTTTCCATTTCTTCTTCGATCATAGACCCCAACGTGTTACATATGTGCTGTCTAAGGTATTTTACAAATTCATAGCTGAAACAAATAGAGAAATAAAACATATCAAATATCAGTGCTATTTATTAACCAGAGCCAAGAAATTTAGCACACAAAGGCCTGTAACATACAAAAATTTCTTGCCTTGTCATTAAGAAAATAAGTAACAAATGCTGGCAAGAAATCTCTGAATCTTTTGTCTTATTTATTGGAAAAAAATGTAGGTCAGGCTGGCTTCAAACTCAAAATCCTTCTTCATCGGCCTCCTCCAGCCTGGGATCACGAGTGTATACCATCATGCCAGCAAGTTCTGTATCTTAGATTGACTGATCTCCCTAGATTCTATCAATCTTCTGAAAAAGTCACAAGTTCACCATGGAAAAACAACGATAGAGTTTTCTTGGAAAATGGAGGTAATAACACAGGAGAAGAGTGGAAATGTGAATGTCTTTACTTAATTTAGTGACATTCAGGAAAAAATATATACAACTTACAGAGAAAACCAGAAGAGGCCACTAAAGGAAGGGACAGGTTAGCATCTCTGCATGACAAATCTCCACAACGACTTTGCCTATAGTAGTTTCTCCTCCAATGACCACATGGTCTCCCACTTTGGTTTATCATACCTGAAATTACAATATTTACTGACTCAAATGTCTCCAACACCATCTTCATATAAAAATGCTAACAACCCAGAAACCCGGGATCCCATATAAGTTTTTTGATATGTGGAATCATAAAAGGGAGATATAACTGCAGACATTAGAAATAAGGTAACGGGATGTTAATGAAAGTCTTTATGTAAATTAGTTTGAATTCTAGGTAAGATTGAAAACTTCCAAAAAATACACTGCTAAAATCACTGACTTATTTACTACTTTTGGAGCACACCCGTGCCAGTGTGGTGGTGTGCGCTCCAGAGGCAAAGGCAAGGGGATCTCTGCTAGTTCTAGGGCAGCCTCATCTACACAGCAAGCTCCAGGCCAATCAGAGCTGCATAGTGAGATCCTGTCAAAAACAAAAACCGAGCAAATGAGTTCGTAAGAAATTAAATTTGGGGGAAGATGCCAAATTTTCTATATTGTGCTTTTTAAATAGTAAACCTATGACAAAAAAAAACACAAAAAAAAGCCTAATTCCAAGTATGTCTAAAGAATAGTACCAGCTAATAATTGAGAGTACCACTGAGATACTATGAAAATAAGCAACAATGAAAGAAGCCATAAGCACAATCATAAATTTTAAAAAAATCAAGTTGGGCAGGATGGCACATGATCCCATCACTTAGGATGTTGAAACAGAATATTAGCTAGCCTTAGCAGTACACCAAGCAAGTCTCAAAATTTAGTATTAAATTCGAAACTCTACAGTGATTATTTCTACATCTTTTAAAACTTCCCTTGGGAACTGAGGGAATTGTAAAGGACAACCCATAAAACAAGAAAACAAATAACCTTTAACACAGAACATCAAAGGCCTGAAGGAACCCCTAATGCCCATTTTCAGAGAAACTGAACTTCAAGCTATCCAAAAGTCAATAAAAGCACCGTAAAATGTCTCCTGTCATTCATGAGACCCTGGGTTCCATGCCCAGCACCAGAATGAATTAAATAGATTAGCAGACTAAAGCCACATCACAAGAAACAATGACTGTGGGACCAAATAAAATGCAAACACTGGATTTGAAAAAGCTGCAACTCATCATAAACCGAGAGTCCGGAGATAGACTTTGACTGAGAGGCTTAACTTGATGTATGAACAAACTCCAAAGAAAGGCTTAGCTCTCTAAAGATCTTTAAGTCGAAGGTGCGTTTACATTTTTTAAAGACCATTCTGGTAGCACCTGACAACTTCCTTTCTCCTTTTCTCCTCCATGCCTGGCATCCTGCCTCTTGTCACTGGACTCAGGGCAATTGCATGGGTGCCCGCCTGCTGCACAGGCACCCAGACCTACTTCAGCACGGGAGCCCCTTACAGTGTTTCGTGGCTAACTACAGCAGGTAGTGAAGTAACAGACCAGCAAATAGGGAGCTTGGGGGCCACTGCTTCTAGGTAAAGTGAAAGGAATCCCGAATTTCAGGGATTATGATTGCTCTTTAAAGTATACGAATGGATTACAATTGATGTAACAGCAAAGAAAAACAGGCAGAAGAGGCTCTGAAACACGAGTTTTTTTTAAAAAAAAAAAAAAAGAAAGAAAGAAAGAAAGAAAAAATAAACTCGGCACTGGGACAACTGGTAGACAAAGTGAACCACCAATTAGCTATTTTAACAAAATTCAAATGAATCTCTTTATCCGAATCATTTTCACCTTCCCTGGACCAGTGGTTTGTTTGCTTAAAAACTTAAACTCGACTTTACTTGTGGAAATTTTCGTCAGTTTCCTCCAGCCGCAAGAGGATCTCCTCTGCGCACTCCAAGGAGGGAGCGCCGGTGATTTTCTCCTTCACGCTCTGGAACAGCTGCCGGAGCATCGCCTGCAGCATCACCTCATCATCGCTGGAGAAATGGGCCATTCTGTGCAGCAGTCAAACCTCGGCACCCTCCGCGGGGTCGTCACCAACAAAGGCCACTGCGCACGCGCAACTCGGTCCAATCGCCGTCGGCGCGCAGCGTCGTTCCCTAGGAAACCACCGCCAGCGTCCAGGGGGCGCGGCCGAGACTGAGTGGCTCTGTGCGGGGGGGAAAACGAGGCTCTGGGTTTGGAGAGACCAGGCGTGGGCTGAGGCCGGCGATCAGATGCTTGCAGTTAGGCGGTACCAGCAGCCCCCGACCTTCAGGCTCCGCTGGGCGAGCCTGACGGGAACGCCCCGGCTGCGCCTGACGTCAGCTCGCCGACGTGGCGGGTTGGGGGGGGGAGGGGTGAATCCAGGAGCCCTCTCTGAATCTCGACGACAAGAGGCAGTCAATAAAAGCAGAGCAAATGAAGCCGGACTGAAAGCAGGCTGACGAGTGTCATCTGGAGAGTGGATGAAATTTTAAAATACTGTTCTTTTCACCAACACCTGCTGAGCGCCTGCAGCTTACCAAGAGCTGCCTACCTGAGAAGATGGCCCTTCCTAACGTGACCGAAAAGAAATTAGCAATTCCCTACAGAGCAGTTAAGGGCCTTTCTAGAGAAATGCTACAGACAGGCTGGAAGCATCTTTCGAACCCTCGTCCCTAGCTAAGTAGATAAAGTTTCTGGGAGCTAGGGAATAAGTTGCCATTAAGAGTATGGCCATGCTCCATAAGATGGCCCAACATCCATGACACTATCGACTATTGACAGCGAAAAGTGGATTCAGTGTGTCTGTTTGTTTTTGTTTTTCGGCCAAGAGAGGTGGGTTGGTGGTAAAGAGCACTGGCTGCTATTCCAGAGGGCCCAGGTTCAATTTCCAGCACCCATATGGTGGTTCACAACCTTCAGGTCCAGTTCCTGATGCCCTGTTTCACCTCCATGGGCACTGCACATCTGTAGTTCACAGACATACATGCATGCAAGCACTATACACATAAAATAATTTTTAAAAGAAGGAGGGGAGTGGGGAACAATATGATCTAATACATTATACACATGAAATTACAAGAAAATAACAAAAATATATTTCTATAAAAGAAAGGAATGGTGGTGGTAGTTGCTGAGGAAACCTAGGATTTTGTTCATAATCCAGTGGGGAGTTTAAAAGAAACAAGATATTGGACATAAAAAGAATGGTGGCTTGAGCATATACAATATTCAGGTGCCAATAACGACAGAACAGCCCCAAACCACCGATGTCAATAAACTTCCCAAATCTAGCTATATAGTCTATCCTTATATCAGATTCACATCCCAGGTTAGCCAGATTCAGTAATTCTCCTGCCCGTGCTAGTGCATCCAGGAAAATGGACATTTCCTTCCAGCTTTGGCATCATATTTGTTCAGAAAATAGGTTATTTGCATTTTACTATAAAAATGAGCTTTCATTTTTTTTGTTCTTTAACAATTTCATACGTGTATATACTGAATTGCAGCCCTATTCCCTTCTCTTATCGACACTCCCACTGAAACACTTCCTTCTGTTTTGATGATTGTTGGTTTCCTATTGACCCACTGGGTTTAATTACAGTTGCCTACATGAATATTTGCGCGGGGGGGGGTGTTTAGTGAAATATTGGTAATTTATCAGTGGCTACGCCGCTGAAGAAAATTGCACCACCCCCTTCAGCATGCATTTACAGCACATAGACCCTCAGTGAGGGGTAGGGCCTCCTAAGTTTCTAGCCATGCAGGATAAAACCAGCAGAAGTCCAATTTCATACAGGTCTTGTGCAAATAACCACAGCTTCAGTGAGTTCCTAAGTCCAGTGACTATGGCAAAGAAACACTGTCTTAAAAGAAATCCTCTCCAAACTCTGGCTCCTATATTCTTTTTCACCCACCTCCTCTGAGATAGTCCCTGAGCCTGGCACAGGAAGTAAAATGGATGTCCTGTTTAAGGCCAAGGACTCCACATTGACCATCCGTACTGTGGAATAATGTTTTGGTACACTGTAAAGATTCGTCACTCATACTGGTTTTAATAAAACGCTGATTGACCAGTAGCCAGGCGGGAAGTATAGGTGGGGCAACCAGACTAAGATAATTCTGGGAAGAGGAAAGGCAGAGATGCAGTCACCAGCCAGTCAGAAGAAACAAGATGCGAATGTCTCACTAGTAAAAGGACCAAGCCATGTGGCTAAACATGGATGGGAATTGTAGATTGATTTAATTTGTGGGAGCCAATTAATAATAAGCCTGAATAGGTCAGACAGTTTATAATTAATATAGGCCTCTGTGTGTTTCTTTGGGACTGAATGGCTGTGGGGCTGGGCAGGACAGAAACTTCCATTTACACAGTTGTGAGCCTCTGCATTAACAGCTGCATACTGTAAAACGCAGCATCTCTGATACTGGCTGGTAGCAGCATTGATCTATGAGTGTGAGTGTAAGTATTTAGAAAGCAGTTCAATGATTTATCCATTTAGAAAAATGACAATAATAGGTTCTCAGCGAGAGCTGATGACTTTGCTATCCACGGGGCTCTTGTCAGGTTTACAATAACAGACATGAGTTCCTTCCTGTAAAGCTGTGTTCAATTGGAAAACAATTTGTTTTCCCCATAACTTTCAGGCCATTATTACACCAGTGGACATATCTTACTAGGAAGGCCAGAGGGCTCATCAAGTCCACAGCTGGACTATTGATGACATTTCTCCGCAGGAACATACTTAGCAAGCACCCTTTCGCACTATGAAAGCTGGTCAGCATGGCGTAAACATCCAGCAAAGATTCTATGTGATTTCTTTTTAATGTCCTGCCGCCAAGTAAGAGAGTCATAAAATACATTCTTTATCTAATAATTGTGTTGCCTGTTACATCAATTAATAAAGACAACTTGGTAGAGTAGCTACGGAACATTATTACTGGGCGATGCTATAAGCTCAGTACATATACATGTATGCATGTGTGTCCACGTGCACAGAGTTGCCAGCTGTGAGAAAGAAACATATACTAACACAGAATGGTCTGTGTTTGCAGCTCAAAACATCAAGGTGAAGCAATAATTAGTGAGCTTTTCATATTTTAGATTCAGAATGTCCCCCAAACACCCACAGATTAAAGCTTGCTCCTCAGCTCATGGAGTCTTGGAAAGTAAAGAAATCTCCAGAAAGTATGACCTAGTAGTGGGAATTTGTCTCTAACTCTAGTTTCCGTCTGTGCTGGGATAAAATTCTGATCAAAAGCAACTTGAAGAGGAAAGGGTTCGTTGGCTTACCGTTTAAGAACACAATCCATCACTGAGGGGAGTCCCAGCAGAAACAAGAAGCATGGAGACTGGAACCGTGGAAGAATGCTTCTGGCTAGCATGCTGTTGGGTGCACTTAGTTAGCTTTCCTTTTTTTGTTTTTTTTTTTAACTGAGGGCTGAAATAAATAAAATAGAAACCGAACAGTACAAAGAATTACTGAAACAAACAGTTGGTTCATTGAGAAAAACAAAATAGATAAACCCTATCGAACCTAATTAAAAAGGCAGAGAGAGGATATTCAAATCAACAAAATCATAAATGAAAAGGAGGGCATAACAACATCCATACAGAAAGCAGAGAACAAGATGTGGGACCAGGCTCTGAAACTCCAAAGCCTGTCGTCGTTGACATGCTTCCTCTAACAAGGTTCATGCTTCACCCCCTAAAGGGTCTGCAACCTTCCCAAACAGTAGCATCACCTGGACATCAAGTGTTCCAATATGTGAGCATATGGGAACATTTCATATTCAACCCATAGTACTGACCTACAGAGCAAGGCCCTCTCTTAAAATGTGGGTTGTATTGCTGGACACTGTGGCACACGCCTTTAACTGTAGCACTCAGGAGGCAAAAGCCGGCCGATCTCTGTGAGTTTAAGGACAGGCTGGTCTACATTATGAATTCCAGGACAGCCAGAGCTACATAGTGAGATCCTATCTAAAAAAAAAAAAAAAAAAAAAAAAAAAAAAGTAAGGGGGAGCATCTCTGTGAATGTGTGTGTGCATGTGCATGCATATAATGCATATATAATATATATAATAACATAGATACGTGACCCTGTCAGACGCAGGATCTGTGCTGATGTCTGTAGCTTCTGAGACCATCTAAGACTATGCCAATGCAAGGGATCTGGACATGTTGGTGTCTGAGGGCCATGCTGCCATGGGGAACCATGCCAGTCTGAGTGGCCTACACTGCCACCTGGGACCATGGTGATATTCGGACCCAGACTGCTGCCTAGGACCATGTCTGAGTCTGTGGTCCTACAACAGTCAGGGTCTATATTGATGTCCGTGGGCAAATCAGTAGGTTGGCCCTGGTGAAGGGAGTTCCATGGCAGTGATGTGGCTTGGATCTGAGGATCTGAAAGCAGGATGACTGGCCCTGCTCCTTAATGTAGGCCACATTGAACGAGCTAGTTGAGGCAGTGCTGGAGAGTTTGCCCAGGTAGTGACAATGAGGGAAAGCTGGTGGTTGACCAGCCCAGCTACCACCCAGGCCCACAACCAGTGCTATGAGTTGGCCCACCCCAGCAGCCACCAAATCTATGAACTTTTGGAGCATGTGAAGAGGACTGAAGATCCAAAACATCAGGATCTCCATGACACAGGATGTCCAAGAGGAGCCCTAGTGAGAGCCCACTATTGGTGAGCAGAAACCAGAGCCTGGAGTCAGACCAGTGACTCATGGCAATGAACACTTGCAGTAATGATTAATGAACTAAAAGAGAAAGAGCGTGATTCAATGGGCCACACAGCAGCTTCCACAAGAGTCTTCTCCTTCTTGTTTTTTGTTGTTGTTGTTGTTGTTTGTTTGCTTGCTTTGTTTTGTTTTTGGTTTTACTTTTAAATTTGGTTTCAATTTTTGGAGAGGTTGCAAGGGTAGAAGAAGGATGAAGGGGGGCAGAGAGATAGTGGGATTGGAATGTATGATGTGAAATTCACAAAAAAAAATCAATAAAAGTTTTTTTTTAATAAAACATAACATAGATAAGCACTTTAAAACTACAAGATTAACAACATTTTAGTTAGGGATCATTTGCAATGAAATGATTAGTCTTTCCATATA